GGGGGGGGGACCCAGGTGGTCGGGGGCGGTGGGAGCCTGGCTGGGGGGGCAGCGCCATTCCGTGCTGCTTGCACCCGTCCATCTTGTCCCTCCCCGGGCTCTTCTCCGTCTGCCCGCCCCTCCTGCCACCCGCCTGTCCCTTCCCAGGCACCCGTCTGCCCACCCGTCTGTCTGTCTGTCTGTGTGTCGTCCCCCCCCAGGCTCTCCCTACATCCGTCCATTCACCTGTCCTTCCCCAGATGCTCCTTTCTGCCTCTTCACCCGTTTGTCCGTCTGTCTGCCTGTCCATCCATCTTTCTATCTGTCCCCTTGTCTGTCCTTCCATTTGTCTGTCCATCCGTCCACCCATCCGTGTACGGTCCATCCACCGCCACCGCCTCACTCTACCCGTCCACCTCTCCCTCCATTTCTTCATCCATCCACCCGTTTGTCCATCTGTCCATCCGTCCCCCTTTCACGTCTCGCTATCCGTTTGTTCATCCATCTGTGTGCTCACCCGTACACTCATCCGTCCCTTCATCCACCTGACTGTCTACTCATCCACCCACTCATCTACTCATCCGTCTACTCACCCACCCATCCGTCCACTCATCCATCCACCTACCTATTCATCTGTCTACTCATCCATCCCACTCATCCTACCTATTCATCTGTCTACTCATCCATCTGTCCGTCCATCCTTCCATCACCCATCCCCCTGCCACCTCTCTGTCCATCCATCTCTCCACCCGTTGTTCATCTAACCACCCACTCATCCACGTACCCATCCATCCATCAACCCGTCCGTCCATCTATCAACCCGTCCATCCATCCATCAACCCGTCCATCCACCTGTGGATGCATTCATCCATCCATGTACTTGTCCGTCCATCCATCCGTGGATGTGTCCCTCCATCCATCCGTGGACTCGTCCATCCATCTGTCCGAGGGGGTCTTGGGGTACCCTGGGTGATGGGTGTTGGGGTGCCTGGGTAATGGGTGGTGGGATGCCCAAGGAAACGGGTCTTGGGGTACTCAAGGTGATGGGTGTTGGGGTGCCTTGGGTGATGTGTGTTGGGGTGCTCAAGGTGATTGGGTATTGGGGTGCCTGGGGTGATGGGTGTTGGGGTGCTCAAGGTGATTGGGTGTTGGGGTGCCTGGGGTGATGGGTGTTGGGGTGCTCAAGGAAGTGGATCTTGGGGTACTTAAGGTGATGAGTGTTGGGGTACCCAAGAAAGTGAGTCTTGAGATACCCCGGGTGATGGGTTGCGGGGTGCTGCCTGGATAATGGGTTTTGGGGTGCCTGGGGTGATGGCGTACCCAAGGAAGTCAGTCTTGGGGTACCCTGAGTGATGGGTATTGGGGTGTCTGGGGTGATGGATGTTGGGGTGCCCAAAGGAGTCGGTCTTGGAGTACCCTGGGTGACAGGTGTTGGGGCGACTGGGGTGATGGGTGTTGGGGTGCCCAAGGTGATGGGTCTTGGGGTACCCGGGGTGATGGGTATCGAGGTACCCAGGTGCTGGGTATGGGGGTGTTGAAGGAGGGCCGGGGAGCAGGGTGCCCGTGGGGCTGGGCAGTGGGGTGCCCGGGGGGCTGGGTATCGGGGTGCCGGGTCTCACGGGGCTGCTTCAGCTGGAGGAGACGCTACAGCTGCGCCAGCCTGCGCGGGGA